TTCAGTACAATTTTCGCCATGAATCGCTTCACACCGAAACAGCGCGCTGAAATGGTAACACTTTATATCAAAAAAGATCGTTCCATCATCTAACAGATCACCATATTTAACCCCCCGGGCTTCTCTTTGTGGAGTTATCTGAAAGCTTAAATTATATTTAATAATAAAAAATTAATATATTAATATATTAATATAATAATATTTTATTCTGAGAGTGCCCGCTGTCTAAATCTGCCGTGCACGAGAGAGGGCTGTTAATTTTATATTGATTTTTCGTTAGTTCGAACAGTAGCCGCTAAACAGACGATAAGCTAAAGAAATTTAACTAAAAAGAGTATGGGAATGGGCACGTGATGGGGCACACGGAAATAGTGGGAACAGAGGGGTAATTAATTCCACGCACGGATTTATTTATGGTGGTTTAAGCAGACACTTAAACACAAGGTTTACGCCAAGCAGCCTCAAACTATTGATAAGCTCAAAGCAAACATTCGTGCTGCAATCGACGCTATAACACCCGAGATAGTCGGAAAGGTAATGACAAACGCAAATTAAGGAGTCATTTTGTAATTGCTAATAAAGGTAGCCACTTGATTAATATTGGTTTCAAAAACTAGTCCAAAAAGTTAAAAGGAACCAAACCGAATAAAATTGCATCACTTATAGAAATCGGTTGTTTTTTCTCAAAGTTATTCAATGTTTGTATACCGACATAAGATTATGGAGCACCCTGTATATAATTCATATAGCTTATGTGTATTACAATTGAGCCATTTTAATTTTTCATGCTAATCAGTGCGCGAGCAAACAATGAAGGTCATCAGTGATGATTTTATTAGACAAGTACTTAATATCAAAATGAAATTTTTGGGAGAATAGAGTGGGGAATGTTAGTGTTTAAATTAAAACCCATTATGACTTATAGCTTAATTCTTAGACTACAACACAAATATTTTCCCAGCATTCCAATGACACAACAAATTGACGGTATTTTAAATAACTAAATGAATAGTAGTTAAATCATATAAAAAAGGCATTGGTAGCTAATTCATTTTAATTCTTCTCTTTTCTTTTCACTGCAACCGGACAACAGAAGCAAAGCGCCAGAGGAAGGTTGATCGATATTTTTCAATCGATAACTAAAACAAAGTCTCCTCTGTTTTTGATTTTATTTTTATTTAATTTTAAAAACATTTTTCTTTATGGAAACTGGCTTGCTACCACCTTTTTCCATTTATAATTGCTATGGTATATCGGCGAAGAACTTGATCAATTGATTTAGAGTGCCTCATTCATCAACTTGTAGACTTGTAAACCATTCACAGAGTTTTGAAAATACCGAACGATAATACAAGGTCTGGGCTATATGGTGGATGCATCAAAACTTCAAAACCAATTTCCGTCAATTTTACCTGGTTTTACAGATGTATGTGTCATAATGAAGCGCATAACACAGTTTTCATTCATAAATTCTAGACGCTTTTTTTGAAGAAATAATAAACTATGTTTACATAAACACCGCCGACATCTTCTGATGACTTTTGTGCTGACCTTTCTCTACCAGTTGCAGAATTAAATTGACTTCTTTAGCAACTGCCGGAATAGAACGAGGTCGCCTTTGGCATCAATATTTCCGAAACGTAATTCAGCAAACCACTGTTGCCATCATTTACAGCAAACAATAATCATAAAATAGAAGAAGTCTACTCTCAGGAGGTGGAATATAAAACAAAATAAGTTGTTTTTTGATGTTAAAACATTTATCTATTAAAATTCTCTACATCTTAAAAGTGTTTTTTTTTTTAGAGAATAGGGTAGCAGAAAAAAGACAAAACACGTTCAATATCAGACAGCTATGAAGATGACTGTGAAGAGAGAATGAAATCACCTTTAAATGAATTAATTTTTTTAACAAAATCTTTTCTTTGAATCCCCGAAACACTTCTCCAACTCGAGCTTTTATAGTTTTTTTTTAATTTTTGGAAATAACCAAAAGTCTCATGGACCTATATCTGGCGCATATGGGGGCTGGCGTATTGTTGCCATAATGATTTTGCTCTAAAATTCCATAAGAAGCAATGAAGTGTGTGTGCATTATCCTGTTGCAAATGTCATGATCTATTTTTCCACAAATCTGGGCATTTCCTTCAGGCAAACTGCATTTAACGTATAGGTTGCACTCCTTATTAACCTTGTAATTTTGTGGTAGGTATGTGGTAATGTGGGTTCTTCTATTTAATATAATATATTTATTTATACAAAACCTCTGTTCGACGGGAACTCCCAATTACAACTTAACTTCAATAAATATTGAATACAAACAAAGGAATTTAGTATTAACCCTTGTATAAAATTTTTAATCTTAGCTTAAGGTAAATAGAAATTAATAAAAATTGAAATAATGTTACAAATTATGATATTATAAATATGAAAGAATTTTATTTCATGAATTGTAGATGTAATGTGGGTACCGCCACAGGTAATCATGGTGTACTTTGCCAATAAAATCAAGGAACACTGTGAGCTTCGCCTTCACTTTCCACATTTCTCTGTCTTGACGGGCTTGAATACCGAAACTGCCATGATTGAGCCTTAGTAAGGACTAGATGTTCGTAAAGCCGTGCTTCGTCACTTGCCATAATGCGATTCACTGATTTTGCATATAATTGACTTTATTTAGCTGCTACTGAGCAAGTTCTATTTTTTCAAAATTAAATCATTTTTAAACATACATTTCTGCCATATACATAACACCCAAAACATTAAGAAAAATGTAATGACTTGTAATGACTCTACCTAACAACAGGCCGCCCTAATATGTTCACAGACTAATAGTAAATTCCACAAGTCAAATAACACTTCGGCCTTCCTCTACTTTCCGATTCCTGCTGGCTTCTCTATGCCTTACTTGCTCTACTACTCGCAGCAACTAGGTGCAGTCGGCCTTCCCTTCACTTCGTATTTCAAGAAACTTCTCTTTGCTTCTATAACGAATTTCCACTAGGTGTGTAGAATCTAAATAACACTCGTGTCTCATTCTCAACCAAGGTCCTTTGGGTAATTCTGGAGACGTGGAAATGCCTTAGCCGTTCGAGAAAACCTCGATTAACATGAATCAACCGTTATTTTTACATCTTAGTTTACTTCTGTTTTTGTGATTCTACGATTTTGTTAATAACCATTTCATTTAATTGCCCTTTTCCACGTTGTTAATGAGCTTGGGGGCGTCACAACCTTCTTGGAAACGCTTATACTATTTCTTAGCTTTTGCTTTAGAAGAAAGTAAGAAGATGAATGCATAAAAGGCATATGTAAAATATTGTGAAATATTTGCGTTTATAACAAATCTGAAGTTTAACTAAAACTGCAAATAAATAGCATTCGAGGGAAAGAAAAATGCATAAGAAGTGCCATTACACGCTTGTGAAGGTAGACTGTAGGAGTAAGCAGTAGAATATGCAACTGCACAAAATAGTGATTTATGCAGAAATGCGCGTGATTATGACACATAAATGGAGGAGTGAAATATTTCCATACAGTCTTGACGCGCAATGAAATGCAAATGCGTAAGCCAGTTCGGTAGCATAAACATATTTTTAGATTTTACTTTGCATTACAAACGTTATATGAGTAAATCTAAAACTAAGTGCACTGGTACTCTACCAAGGTTTTATAAAAAAATATATGTTTGCCAGATTATTTTGCTTTCTTACTGCTGCCATTCCAATGCTGACTGCTTTGCTTTCGACTACTGTTGAATGTAAATTTAAATAAATGTACTTTTGAATAAATGCCAAGAGGGAGAGAGAGAGAGAGAGAAAGGGCAGAGAAATGTTTATATTTTGCATTTTATTTTTTCCGAAGCTTCAAAAGGAGCTGCAAAGTAGCTTTCAGAAGTAAATTCAAGTGATGATTTGCATTAAATTATTTCTAAAATTTTCTTTAATATTTTTGTGAAAAATTAGTAGTAAAAAAAATGGAAAATACGAATAAACTCTAAATAGAAGTAGCTTATCTTTTACAATGGAACTATCAGCCAAAACAAGATTAAAAAGTTTTCATTATAAAGAATATTGTGAAAATACAAAGGTTCTAAGTATAATAACTACTAAGTATAATAGCAGGCTCAGCATGGTATGTTCATTATGTAAAAATACAAAAAGGCCTTGGCATCCTGCAGTTGAAAGTTATGCAACGAAGTACTTCATCCCAACTAGAGCGCTGCATGGGTATAGTCGCCGTGCTATATTTTGAAGAAAACAGAAAAATTGTATAATAATAAAATAAAAAAAATAAAAAAATATTATGAAATAATTTCTACATTAAGAATTATATAGTTTACTAAAACCCTTCTCTGAGAAAAACAATGGTAAAAATATATTTTATATAACGGAATTAAAAAAAACATACATACAATACGTATACAATATCAATTGCTTCAATTTATATTAAGACAAAAGTTAAATTTTCTACAAGGTCAGCGCTCGTCAGGAAATATCCACTCCTACGAGTGTATTTCGGACATGACATGAAGGCTCCTCGTAAAAAAACCAGCAGCCGTAGCGCTGATTATGTTAGTGATCAAGATCGTATTGATAATTTGAAAAAAAATTTATTGATTAAAAATGGGTTTTGAATAATTTAACACTTAAGGCTACGACAGAACTTTGATTTTCACTTTAAACATGTCATTGAGGGTTACCAGGCTTTTCTAAAGAATTTTCCACACAACATAAAATTCAAAATATTTGATTCTCTCTCTGTTAAAATTATTCTCGGAATGCATCATAAGGACAGTTCGCTGTTTTATTTGCGTGTGCATAGTTCGAACTATGATAGATAAAAATGTTACTACTAAATTTCATCAGAATGAATGTAATGAATTTTATTAGAGAACAAATCTTAAGCTCTACTTGCATACCAAAAGCTGAATATTTTGCTAAATTTCTTTATATTATTTACTTCGATACTGATTCATGTTAAAACTGTTATATTTTCAGAAAATAAATTTTCAACGAAAACACTCATACGAAAATCCCCAAAGTCAATTTATTTGAGAGAAGCAAGAGTCAAAAAAAAAAAAACCAAACACACATGTAACAGTGAAGACAACAAGTCGTAGGATAAAAAATTCGAACTTGCAAAAATTTGTTACACTCACAGCTTCCTAACTCCAACTGTGAGTTGAATGAAATGCCGTTGCTGACAATAAAATAAAATCTACCGGAAAAAACAGTATTTAACTACAAAATCTCGCAACAGTTGTAGAAGTGGAAAGAACAAAACAAACGAAAGACAAAACAAATATAAACAATTGCAATGAAACGAAATAAAGTGGAAAAAATGGCAGGAAGCAATTTGAGCACCCAAACAAGGCAAACAGCGCAAAGTATAAAAATAACAACATCAATATTTACACATACAGGAAGTGCGGCAGGCACACACACATCAGAGCAGCGACGAAAGTGTACGAAATTCGCCAAAAAACAGCCGCGAAGGTGGCGACCTTTATGTGACATATGCCCCAGCACCATGAGAACCATCAACATCCACACCAACTTATCATGGCTTATGCTGCTGCTCACAGTGGGGACAATACAGATTTGCCACACAGCAGACGCGCACATGCCACACGCGCACAATGGAGGCATATTCAGCACACACTTCATCCCATTGCCTGACTTCAGACCGTTGAGGATGGCGAGATACAGTCAACCACTACATGGCGCGGATGAATGGGCGAGTAGTGATGATGATAGCAATAGTTTCCGGCCTATTATCCCCACGGACATTAGTCCTGAATATATTGCACATAATGTGTTCACGAAAACAGGACAATATCATGTTTTCGAGCCTGTTACTAGCGACTTGCGTGCCACAATGACAATGAATCGGGCAGCGGAGGATACTGTAAACAACATTGACACAAAAAACAGCAACAATAACACAAACTTTGAGAGTGATATTAGTAAAACAACAATAGAAAAATTGACCGGACGAACCAAGGTGGCAGAGACGAATCGGCCAGCGTATGAAGGAAGGCGGCAAGACAGCGCGTATGAGGCTGCAGCAGAGTCATTGGTTAGCTTAAGTAATAGTAATAACGGTAAGACGCTGGACAAAACAGCAGAAGCGGTAGCAAATAAAACAAGCCAGTCTTCTATGGCGACGCACAAAAGCAAAGCACTGCCCAACACTTTTTCATCAAGTCAGGCAAATGCTGGCGGTGGCAAACTACAAAACGGCAACAAGGCCCCACCTTCACAAATTCCGGATGTCTCTCAAAATGCGGTCAGCAATGACATCAAGGAATTGGAGGCATTGTTGGTCGAGTATGCAGAGAGCTTCTTCAATAAAGCACAGTATGAACCTTCCAGTGAACTAGTGAATGCCTTACAAAGCAACCACAGCAGTACAGTTGATGGCTTGCCGCTAGCTGATGGCCCATACAAAGAACGCCCGACGCGACACGCAAATGCAAGTCCACTACCACAGCCACACCATCATTTTCACCATCACCATCACCACCAGCAGCTACTTCATCAGCAGCAACATCTCCACACATCGCCCGTAGTTCTACGCAAAGCAGATGGCGATGTGAGCGTAAATATACCTCGAGCCATGGAGTCAGGCCGATTACTATTCTTTTCAGGTACACTTTAATACTTTAATCCCTAGATATATATTGTATGTATGTCCTTTGTTATATGCGTACATTTGTTTAGCCAATTAATTTATTTGTGTTCTATTTGAGTTCCATTTATTTATTTTTAAAGGTCTGAAAAAGGCGCTTTGGCCAATTTATATGGGCTTACAAGTGTTGAAATCGCTGCTTTTCGCTTTGTTCTTGCCGACATTGATTGGCTCGGTTGGCAAGCTGCTTGGAAAGGGTAAGTTTTGGTGTAAACAATTGGCTTAAATATTGGTTAGGTAGTGACGTAATAACAGTCCTTCGAAAGCTGAGAAATTGCACATGAAAATGACAGTAGAAGAAAGCCAAGCAGGTTAAAGGACATTTACTTTGGCTGTACTGGATTCACCAACAGCTACATATATTCTTTTAAGGATCTTAAACTGTTAAATATTATTTATTTTTAATATATTAGTAGAAAAAGGCTTTTTCCTAAAAAATCTGTCTAAAATTTTTGTTTGGGACTAAAGATGGACGTGGAAAATGAAATGTGATTTTGTTAAGAACTAACAAAGGCACGAAGGTGTTAATATATTTTTTTTATTTATTTTACCCTTATTTTAGTAAATAAAATGTTAGCCATCAAATTTGATGATGGGTTATCGATAAATGTTTATATGTATGCCTGCATATGCACATGTAACGGGATGTTTGAAAAGCAAGAAATAGCACTACCGGCTCCGAGATATAGATTATTCTATCAAATACATTTTTTGTTTACATTTTTAAAGTGAAGTGCCAGAGTATTTTTTAATATGGAAAAAATTTAATATCGCACAATGATTATAAACTTTTAAAAGCAACGAAAATTTATGAACAATTGTTGGGAGTGTATAGGAAGTTCTCACCATCAAAACGCACCGTTGAATTTTGGGCTGCTGAATTTAAACGTGGTCGCACTAGGCTTGAAGGCAATCCCTGCGAAGGACGACCAAAACCCGCAACCACACCAGAAAACATTGTTAATGAAGATCCAAGTTTGACTAAGCCTGAAATTGCTAATGACATAGGCATCTCAGACTAACGAGTACTTCATATTTTACTTGACGAATTTCATATGAAAGAGCTGTTCGGAAAGTCAGTGCCGCACACTGCAACAATTCAACTAGAACTGGATCGAGAACAAATCGCTTAGCATTATTTTGGGGCATTTTAGGCAGAATAAAATCAATTTATTGGATTGTTTTATAACTATGGATGAGACTTGGATCTACCACCATGATCCTAAATCTAAACAAGAATGTTTACAGTGGACTGAAGCTGGTTGTTCAACTCCAAAGCAGGAGAAGTCACAACTATCAGAAAAAAAGGTTATGACATCAGTTTTTTGGAATGAAAAGGGAATTTTTGTTGAACAATCAACTCTGAGTATCATTGCAACCTTTTGGATCAGCTCTAGACCTGGTTTGTAGCATAATAAAATCATTTTCATCGAGACAATACACCTGCTCACAAAGGTGTTTTTACAAATGCCAAAATTCAACTAATTAAATTGCGAATTGCTAGAGCATATAACGTTTTAGCCAGGTTTTCGCCCATCAATTACCATCTATTTAGAAACCTGAAACATTTCCTACGTGGAAAGCGTTTTTCGTTGAACGCAGGTGCTGTTACAGCTACAGAGTGGTTTTTTGCAGATCTTCCAGAAAGTCATTCTAGAGATAGCATAATATTATTCGAAGATCATTAGCGCCCACAACAGCCGAGTGGTAAGGATTGCGTACTGTCATACGGAAGTCCAGAGTTCAAATCTTGGTACGTGCAACGTCGCTATTAAAAATCAATTTAAATAAAAAATTAACCTAAATTTTATAATTGCGGTCGCCCCTCGGCAGGAAATGTTAAAGATGGATTATTGTCCTGCTGCTGTAACGATTTTATCGATTTCATTCGTTGAAATAATGGAAATCCGCCAATCTGACTATCATGCGAGCACTATTTCTATTGCCTTGGAGATAAACATGGCACAGAAAGCAGTTTGTGTCACCTCCAAAAATGCTGTATACACAAAGAAGCTTGATGAATGGATCTCACAAGAGTTGACGAGAAAAAATCTCATGAACCGAATCGCTACTAAATCGTGACAAAATTGACCCATTTCTGAGCCGACAAAAACGATTCCTGAGCCAGAAATTACAGCCAAAAAGGTTGTGTTTTGCGATGGGTGTGATTGGCAAGGAGTCATCTACTTGTGCTTTTTGCCTACGTCCTAAATATTTATTTGGACCTATAATGTCAGAAATTGGACAATATGGAGGAAGCATTCGCCCAGCTGAAGCTAACAGGAGAAGAATTGTTTTTCATTAGGATAACGACACACACAACAGACTTACACAACGATAATAACTCGCCAGCGGCTCCGAGACTTTCGTTGGGGGCTGTTATGCCACGTTATAGTAAGAGCCTTGCGCCACATGATTACCATCTGTTCTTGTCAATGGCGAATGATTTGGTTGCTGAAGAATTGTCCTCAAAAGATGGCTGTGAAAATAGATTGTCCTAATTTTTCGCCAATAGGGACAAGGGTTTTTATGGGATAGGCATATTGACATTACCTTGAAAATAGCAAAACTTTAGCAATTCTTACTACAGTAAATAAAGTCTTCAGTTTATTACAAAAACAAGGGATTATTTCTTGGTATGTAACTCACATCGAATATTTTAGATTATCCAAGTTGTCGACCTGCTAGAGATAGGGATCTTGAGCACGATCTTGAGCGCCCTTATTCCATAAAATGCACTGTAGATAGATTAAAGAGGCTCAAAGGGCTTCAGATAGATTAAATAAAAGTATTTTTTTTTCAGCAATCTGATTTAAAGAGATCGAGGAATACAATGATTACCACTCCAATTTTTACTGCTTTACTTTTCGTTATATTTATTAAGTTCATATTCACATTGTAGGCATCATCTCCGGCTCTGCACCACTTTTCATACGTCCGCCAGATGCGCCACAGGATCTAGATTTTCGTGACAACACCATCAATTTCGACGATGAAAAGTTTGCCGCTGTAGACGAAGGAACAAAAGAAGATGGCTACGCCTACAATCAAGCAGGTAAGTTGCAATAGATTTTGTATTATTGAAATTATAATATAACCGTTATTCATCCCACCCACAGAAGCATCTCAAACGCACTACACCTACAATGCGGGAGGCGAAATTAACCGCATTGAGCAACAGAATAAAATGCCAGACACATATTTGAGTGCTCTACAGACCATCGGTTCAGCGTCTTTCAAAAATTCCGGCTCACTTTCGGGTAGCTTCTCTGGCGGTGGCTTGGGCGGTGGTGGCGGCCTTGGCGCGCCGTTACGTACAAAGCCTGTTGCTCCAGCTAATATGGACACCTTCCAGAAATTCCAAAAAGTACCCGCCTCATCGCTCTTGCTTTCCAATTATGATCCCTTTTATAGTCCGCTGCTCTCACGCTTGGATTCGGTATTTGCGCAGTTGAAATTGAATTCGGACAATGAGAATTGTCGTGAAAAATTAATTTGTCTCATGTATGCAAATCCAGCTAAATATGCACCATATAGTAATCTAGTCTCAGCGCAATTATCGCGGTAAGTATATGCAAGGGAGGGAGTTTGTAATGTTAGAAGTGCGCCTAAAAGTAGGCAATAAAATCTTTATTTTATGTAATACTAATTGTGAGCCAGAGTGTGTCTGTATTTATTTGCACATATACAATAACCTAATCGAAAACTTCATAGATGGAAAAATATTTAGAAGGAGGGTGTGTCGCTTTCAGATCGAAAGAGTCCGACGGATTAAGGTACCTACAACTTCAAGAATAGTTATTAGTTATTGTAGGATTCTTCCAAAAGAAACCTATGTGTCACATAAAAAATTTTGAATTTAGTCTTCGATGTTTTTGATAGGAGCATTTTTAGTAAATTTTGAAGCTCTATAAAACAATAATATCACACCTGGCTGGAGAGAGGATTCGGAATCTGACCTAGCTTCTTTTAAGAAATTGAAATAGAATTACTGAATTCGGATGAAACCAAGCATTAGGCATAAGACTACAAATTAAGGGTTAATCATTTCGTTGTCTGAAAAGTGCAGGACAGTTTTTGACATCTGTCAAATTTAAGTATAAAGCGAAACATGTTTTGTTTAAGTTAAAAGTCAGATATTTATAAAAATGGATCGCTCAACTAAAATCACTGCAAAAGTGGTAAGCAGGTGCCGTCTAAATACTCAAGCAATTGACGATGTTTTAAAGAAAATTTAAGAGACTAAATGGAATATTGTAAGACCAGTATTTTTTCGTTTAACTCGTTTTGCCTCAAATATCGCTACTGTAAGTGAAAGCGTGGCTGAATACCCGAGTTTTTCTATTTCCCGACTTTCAAAAGAGCTTGGACTATCTTTCGGCAAATTACTGTATAAATTGCAGTTAGACTCACACCTACATCCATTTGAAGTATACTCAACTTACTAAACAAGTGCAGTCAGATGGCCATTTATAGGTCGATTGGGTGCGTGAACAACAAGCTATGGGCGACGATTTTTCGGGAGTTACGTAAATAAGTTAAATTAAAGAGAGATCATTACATCGAAAAAGAGCTTACTGTCTGAAGCGCTCTTTGTTCCGGAGGAATCGGTGGGACTGTCACTATTAACCCGGAGCGTAATTGTCGTTTGATAACCGACTATTCTGGCCTGCAATTAAAGAACATGACTTGAATAATATATATGTGAAGATGGTACCACAAGCCAGTCAACACGAGCGAGTGTGGATTTATTGTGGGAAAAATTTCTGGTCTTGGCGATGTCAATTGGCCACCGGCAACTTTTAGTTTGACACCCGTTAGTTTTTTTTTCTGGTGCTACGCGAAAAACCTTGTTTGTTCAGATAATCCTTTAACCTCCGAGCACTTGAAAACCAATATTCGTCAAGTGATGCTGGGAAACCACCCAATATGTGCCCAAAAAGTCGTAGAAGCTTGCAAAACTTCGCGATACGGACATTTGAATGATGTATTGTTTGATATATAATTCCAATCTAGAAAATTTAGAAAGATTTTAATTAAAAAAAAAAATTATTTATATGTAACGCATTTCATTTATTTCGAACCACAAAGTGGGTATTCCAGGCGTTTAAAAAACAAAAATTATCGAAATTCATTTTAAAAAATATATCAACTCAAATTCACACACGATAGTAGCAAAAATATAAAAACAAAAAAAACTCGTGTAATCATAATTTCGAAAAGCCAAAAATGAAAATCGTTCCATGTTTGTTTGTGCAAGATTTTTGAAATGGCAGGAAGAACAAGCAATCATAGCTTCACCTTCTGCAAATCCGCCTTGAAATATATGCATGTATGTGTATATAAGTATGTAAAGCTGATTTGAGGCAGCTAACATGGTTTAAAATTTATAGAAAAATTTTGATTTTACTTTTCTTACATCGCCACAGGATGTGATAAAAGTGAGCTAAGCATATTACGGTCACGGTCAAATGATAGAATTTTTTTTTTTAGATTTTGAATAAAATTTTCATGCTCTGGTCGGCCAGCAACGTCTTCAACTAAAGTAAACACGGCTGTAGTAAAGGAAACTTCAGCGCGCTTCAAAAAAAGAAAATAACAATAATCCTCACAAAGCACACACCCTTCAAATCAAAGCACACAATTCTCTCTTTCCTAATAAAGGTCACTCAATCCTTTGTTTGATTACGTAATATATTTGTGCTTCAGCAAAGCTGTGTAGTCAAGCTGTTTAGCACTTGCATATATCTTTCTAAATATGTATGTATGTTTCATATGGGAATACGCGACAAACCAGCAGGAGACCCCTACATATATACAGAATGTCCCCAATGAGCCATGAGCGAACGTAGAGGACTCGAGTAGAGTTGAATTTTTAGTGTTGGCTTGAAAAATAACATTTCTTTCAGCTGATAGACAGTTGTGTGTGGAGTTTCATGCACATGCATGTGTATAAATGTTACACTAAGTATGGATGTATTAGATAACAATACTCACCCTTTGTTTGACTTTATCTCAAAACTCACAGCATGACGCGCCGCATGCACAATTTTATCGGGAAATCCGACTTTGATAATTTTGTTTTATTTGTTTGGGAAATGTGTGGAATTTTGTGATTTAGCAACTTTTGTTTCGCTTTTATTTTGCTTTTTTTGTTTTACCGTTGTTTTCTTTTTACAGTGAACTGAACGAGTTACGCAAGCCCACATCTGATAATCCGGACATTCTACGCTTCTTCAAGTACATGCGCGCCGCAAAGGATGGCCAAGATGGAATTGATTGTGAGAAATCATTTGATCGTTGTTCGGAATTTAAGGATTTCGAAAATCCAGCAATGGTTTCTACATATCACGACATCAATAAATTGGTGCAGGCACGAAAGTTGACGTAGTTGAATCGAAATGTGGTTGAAAAACAAAAAAATAGGGAATAAAATAAATATATAAAATATATAAAAAAAAATATATATAGAAAAAATTTGTAGACAAAAATATATGTAAGACTTGGGTGCAAAGTATTTAATGAATTATAGAAAGCAGTTAAAAAGGATTTATTAGTCGATGCATGCTTTATGAAAGTGATAAGAGTGAAGGGAAATGAAATTTGCATTTCAAGAATTTAACATTCGAAATCGAACTTTTGGTCCTCATATTAAATTAAAATTTTAAAAGAGCGCAATTTTTGCGTTCGATATTATAAATTTTGAATTTTTGTTAGTTTTCGAGGCTAAATTTGGCTGGCATTTTTTAATCTTTTTAATTGTCCCGTTACTCGTGTTTAAATATTTTATTAACACAAAAAAAACTATGTTGAAATATGTTGTTTTTACAGCTTTTGATCAGCTTTTTTTATTTTTCCTTTCTTGAAATTTAAATTTATATTTGCTGTCGTATTTATTACAAATGTTTATTCCTTTTTTTGACAAGCAAGCTAATTGAAAACAAAGTAAACTGAAAACAGAAGTAATTTAAATTTTGAGTAAATAAAATACTGCTTGCGAATTTACGAATGAAAAAGTTAAGTAAAAAAAATATATACATACATATAGACAAGGGAAAGTTAAAAAAAAAATAGTTGATATTTTAAATATAATTTATTTATTTATTGAAATGAATCTTTTTAGCTTCTTATTATTCACCTATTAAATGTTAATATTAATATTGTATATTTATTTATATTTATGTTTGTCTTAAATCATAAGTCATAAACGCCCAACTCGTGTTAAATTAAATGTGGCGCCTGGTCTTTATAGTAAACTAAAGTTTGCCCGCCACTTATTTCGGGTGAAATTTTTATTAAGTAATTTATTTTATTATAACTTATAAACTATTATGTTAAAACAAATGAAAAAGAGAGAAAAGTTGTTCATATACTTCAAACCTTTCAGTTAGTTTGGTCCCGAAAAAAATTCTCCATGCATTGACAGAGACGTCTATGTTTTATTTATAATACTAAGCCAAACCGAACCTTCGAATCGATTCCAGCCTCACCTCTCGGTCGTTAATATAACTAATTAGATAAAAAGCTGCATTTATATTAATTTTCATTAAAATAAAAAGGGTTAAAAATAAATTTAATTTTTGCGAATAGATCGATTCAAAGGACACTCTTAAACAGAACACACACTCAATTCTTCAGGTCTCTACGACTAGTGGTTTAGTCTGTGGGTAGATCTGTCAGTCAATCAACACAAAGCGGTTTATATACAAGTATATAAATTAAGAAAAATCATCAAAACCCACCAGGTTTTACATAAAATTGAAAGAAAAAAAATTACTTTGCGAATTCTTTATAAATATATACATATATATTGTGTATATAAAATTTCCGCTTTGTGACCGCTGAAGCGATTTTCGGCCGAACTCCTCCTCCAATTTATTGCTTTTTTATGTTTTTCCATCGAAATGGAGAAACCTACAGTTTATACTAAGCCGCCTCCGAGCGGATGGTTTTTTTTATGAGGACACTCCGAAAGGTTGACATTCCCTGCCGCAAGGCAACCGAAGTTAGAAAATCCAGCTTTTTTTCAATTTAATTTTCAATAATTTTTTGGAGGATTTGAACCTTCCGAATGGCAGTGCGCAATGCTAACCACTCGGCTACCGAGGCCGCCGAATGAATTCTACTCTTGAATTATTTGCAAATCAGTCATAGGCGGATATAGATTTTAATGATTATAAAGTCATTGTTAAGTGAAATTCAATCATAGATTGAACAAAAATTTTCTTAGAAACCACGCAAACATTTTTTCTCACACATCTAAAACATTATTTTAAGATTAATTATAAATTTTGTAAAAATCAACTGAATACTTAAAATTAATTTAATCTATTTTTTTTTAATTTTTTGTAACAAAATTAATAAATCTTATTATTTTTTAATTATTTTATTAGAAACTAGCACCTGAAAATCCAGCACTTTATTCTTTCTCCATAAAAAAGTAGCAACGGTTTCATAAAAGCGAATGCTTGTTGTTAATTTAAATTATTTTTAATTAATTTTTTTATCTGTTCAATTCTTGTTTGTTAGCTTTAAATATCAATGTTATGTAATCAATGTGTGAAATGTGTACTTCTACTATTTGTTAACCTTTCCATTAATTTTAACAACATTTCATATTTATATATATATAGTTAGGTGTAGTAAAAAGAAATCAATTATTATTTTCATGAGTGGGCGGTTTTTATTTTTATCTCTCTTCCTATAAGTCCGATCGGGTTCCGCTAGACAGCGTCAGAAAGATGACATTTCGTACTACAGAAACTTCTCCGACAGCCTTGTGATTGGTTGATTCAGTTTTGCTTGAGCGTGCGTCAAAAGTAGACACCAGCAAAGAGAAAATGCGCAATAATTCGATTAGGGCGAACACGCAAGCCAGGCGGCTGAAAATGTGAATACCGTTTATGGCCCTGATACTATTACAGTCACGGAGTGGAAAGACAATTGTCGAAAATATCGATAAAATCATGAACATTGTCGAATCCGACCGCCATCTAAGCACTGTCTCGATGGCCCACGAGCTTAAGATTGCAAAAAAAACCGTTTGGAAATATTTGAATAAGGCTGGTTACGAAAAGTTAAAATAAAAGCCTTCAATTTCATGCAGAAATAATGGATTACTTTATACTACACCTAAAATGTGTGTTTTAAATATATATATGTAAACATATTTATATATATATATTTTTTGTTATTTGTGTTATAGCATACAATTTTTTCATTTATCAAAATTGTAACGTCATCTATTTATTAAATTAATTAGCTATTTAAAATTATTTATTTATTTACTCACATACATACATATGTATATAGACATCTATTTATTTTACCTTAAGCTTTATTGCAAATAGATCGCAAGTGTTTCAAATTTTAGTCATTATAAAACGGTAAATATATATATATATTTTTAAATTTATATATTATATATATATATAATATTTAGTATTTAAAAAATAATAGACTATTGCCAATAATATTTAGCTAAATTTAAAAAAGATATTTGAAATAAAGTATAAAAAAAAAATACTTTTTCCATTTTATTAAAACTTTTTGTTTGGGTTTATGATTCATAGTCTTATACCAAGGAAGACTTCTACTCCGTTGGAGAGTTCAAGTGAATAACGATTTTTGCTAGGATCAGCTTTTCTGTAATCGCGCATTCGGTGCCTACGTCAGTTGAACCTTTGTTCGTTGTTCGATCAATCCATCAATCCTTCAACTCAACGGCATACGCGGCTACCTACCTATCTATAGAACTCCCTTTAATCATTTTAAATTTTTGTTGTTCAGTTCAAGAAGAGTATCTTCATTGAATTTCATTAAAGGAAGTAAGTCCTGCACTCAATTATTTTTTTTTGTTTGTGTCTTTCATGACTTATTTAAATAACATACTCGTCTTCGCGTTGCTGTGGCTTTCTGAATTAAGTCCAATTTCTGTAATAACTTGTATTGCAAAGAACGATAAAAAACATCCTAACAAAGCATCATCTAATTATTAGTAAGTGTGGGCCACTTCTTCGCTGCTCAAAGTCATTTCAATATGAACACCTAGAATACCTTGACCTTATAAGAATAGCTTGTAACCCGCTGCCGCATAAAAAATAAAAATTCGCAGCGAACGTATCCACGACGATCTAAGCTTATATTTATATCATAATAATTTTTGTTAATCTGTCGGTTATCAGCTTCCCGTAAAAAAAGTATAATTCCTATTACGAACTTGCCTCCAGTTTTCTAGTCCATGTCCAGGAAACAGAAGTTTTCCACTTAAGCATATCATCGAAAAATTTAACTATAACTATACTTTTTCAAACAATTCGATCTCCTTTCCGTAAAGAAATTCAAGAAAATAGAACGCAGCGATTTTTTCTCAATAGACCACCTTCGAGTATGTACAAAATTTCTAGTAAATCGAACTCTGAAGATACTTTCTCTTGAATAGGTCAGTCCCTGATTCACTTCCCGGATAAGGGTAGACTTTCTGTTGACCTAAACAAAAGGTTTATGTACAAAATTTCAAGTAAAACGAACCATAATTGATTTCAACTCATTATGCCAATATGTGGCCTAATTTTATGCAAAAAATGACTTTCATAAATTTTTTAATTTTTCTTCGTTCAGATTCAAGGAAAATTCACCTACATTAAAAAAAGCTTTGATTTCAGATAAAAATTGAAAAAGTTATCATGACTACCGCGAAAGCACTTTCTTATGGACGGTCTACTTCACGATATTGCCAACACCTTGACTTAAACGATTTTTCATTCAAATTTTTATCAAATGTTGTCCACATATTGTACTTTTACAGGTAAATAAAATAAATTGTATACTTCATTTAGTATCTAGAAATTAGAGAAAATAAGCGTTTTTTTTTTTTGACTTAAAAGACCTATGCAACCCCTTGACTATGGCCATACAATGCTACACTTTGCTCTTTCAGAATCAAGCATTGTTGATTGAAACCAAATAAACAAAAATCTGTGAATTTAAAGTAGCCATCAGACGTAGCGAATTTCACTCATTTTTTGTTTCCTTCATATATTTTCCTGGCGAAAAATTTCAATTTCGACATGTGACCACCCTTAAACTTATTTCAGCACTTTAGTTTCTTATAATATCAGGTGTACAACTTTGCTTCTGCCGTTTTTTTTCCAAAATTAAAAGCTTTATTGCGAGTGCTTGCAGATATATTATTCAAAGTATTATCCTTCGCTAGCGACAACTTTCTCCCATCTTTCCGGCAATTTTCGGATCCCGGCTCGAAAAAGGAGTCCTCTTTTGACGCTACCCATGAAGCAATCCATTTTTCAAATTCTTGGAAGGACTGAAAATGTTGATCTGCCAGGCCGTGTGCCATCGAACAGAATAGGTGGAAGTCAGAAGGGGCGACATCTGGGGAATACGGCGGGTGGGGTAAGACTTCCCATTTCAGCGTTTCCAGGTACTTTTTGACCACTTTTGCGACGTAAGGCCGAGCATTGTCGTGTTGGAGGTTGACCTTGTCATGTAGCTCTTGATATTGTGGCCGCTTTTCTTTTAGCGCGCGACTAAAGCGCATCAGTTGCGTTCGGTAGCGATCTCCTGCGATGGTTTCACCCGGTTTTAAGAGTTTGTAGTAAATCACACCGAGCTGATCCCACCAAATACAAATCATAACCTTGGCGCCGTGAATATTCATTTTTAAAAC